CCTGCTAACCACAAGATGGCTGCTGTGCCGCATCAACTGATGGTCAACTCTGCTTGCCAGAACTGCCTTCCGGAGACTGTATTCCATGGAGACTCACCTACAGTTGCGGAACTGCACGAGACCCACACTTGATCCAACCTTGAATGGAATCTATTTTCCCTATTGTTAAAAACTTTGGACTCCTGGCCCCTCTCCCTCTACTCGCAGGTATCGCATTTTCAATGACCCCTCTGGAGGATAGCTGTCTATAGCAGAGATAGAGTAATTGGGAGAGGGGGAAAGGGCTGAGGGTCAAACATAGGATAAAAAACATATTTATATGTATGAAAGTAGAAATGGAACAGTATTGGTGACGACATGCTTGATTAAGACACTATGTAGTTTATCCTAGATGGGAAACTACACTTGGTGTGTTGTGATGATACTCAGGGAATGAGTGTTAGGCAATATAATTTAATATAAAAAAAGTAATAAGCAGGAGGAGAAAAAAAGGGCACATTTGTGACTGAAGAGAGTTGTATGGACACAACTGGGGTCTACTTTATAATATGTTCATTCTACTCCCTGGGGTTTATGCCTAGGATCAGATTTGGATACATGTGTAAGGATATGTCAGCTGTGCTAGCTAGTGGATATACTTAGACTAATTGAGTTCATTGGTAGAACAATTGAATGGGGGGGGGCGGAAGCCATTGAGGGCAATCATGAATGTCAGGGACAATGGAGGAGGAAGATGGGACATGGCGGAGGATGGGGATGGGGAACCTAGGATGGCAAAACAAAAGGCAAGGTATGCAGGACACAAAAATTGGGAAATCATTTGCTGAGAACATGTATGTTGATGTGCTTGATTGAGCCAATGCACAGTGTATTTTGGATGGAAAATTCATGTGTGTGTTGTGATGAGAAAAATTTATAATAATAAATATTTTTGTTGTTGTAAAAAAAAAAATAAATAAAAAAAAAAAAAAAAAAGACTTGAAAAACACATTGTATATGTGTGCCTAAATCCCAAGAGAAGAATGGAGAGAAAGGGATTGTGTCATGGCATTTTCTCCCAAGAGTGTTTTCTCACATTCTCTCTCTGATGAGTACATGTATCCTATAGGTAACTAAAAAAAGAAAAAAGAGAGAGATGGAAAAAGTATAGATGATCCTAACATTGAGATTACTAAATTTTAAAAATCATTTATTTATTTAATTTTATTTATCATTTAACTTGCTATCGGACAAATGTGCTCGCCAGAGAGAGATAGAGAGAGAGGGAAAGTGAGAAAGCAAGTCTCCAGTTCCAGGACTCAGACTGCCATGTGGGAGACTGGCACCTTAGCCACCACACCACCTGTTGGCCCCAACAGATAATTAAATTTAAAACAGTAAAATTTATAATAGCCCTAAGATGAGAATGTTTATAGTTTATAAGGGTTGTCAGGATTTAATGACATAATCCACAGAAAGTACTTAGAAGAGCTTTTGATAGATACTAAGTGCCTAATAAATATTAGCTGATAGTCTTATTCAGGAGTGCTATTATTGCATTTCTATAGTGAATTTATTTTGCTTTTAGAAACAGATATTTATGTTCAGATTCCAATATGACAGATATGGGCACTTAGAATACTCAAGATTTGTTTTGAATAAAAATCCTAAGAATTTTTAATTTATCTTAATTCTTGTGAAAATAGAGAAGCTGTTAATTACTTTATTTGGTCATTTATTTTCTAATAAACTACTTATTCATGCCTGCTGTTTATTAGTCATTGTACTAGTAACTAGAAATATAAAATAGAATAGACTTGGTCTTTTACCTGCATAGAACCTAGTGGAGAAAAGCACCGGTGAGTTTTACTGTGTTTTAGATAAATATATTCTGTTGTAAACAACTTTTTGCTAGGTCATTATTGAAATGATAAATTTTGCATTGATCTCGTGGAAGGTGTGTGACCCAGATTTTTTAATAAATTGACCTTTTGGGAACCAGCAGTTAGCGTAATGGCTATGTTGCTGGACTCCCACGTAGTCGACCGTGGTTCGCGTCCTGGACCCGGTGGCTTAAAACTCATGCCTGCGCGTGTGCGTGCGTGCCCAAGATCCAAAGAGGAGAATGGAGGAGAAGGGATTGCGGTGTGGCCATCCCCCCTGGGGGGTGATTTCTCACTTTCTGTCTCTCTTTCTCTCTCTGTCTGTCTGGCAAGCGCACGCGCCCTATAGCAAAAAAACTCTCCAAAAATAACTAACTAAATAAATTGACCTTTTGTTTTTAACATCTTATCCATTTACCACATAAGTCTGTGGTATCTGTAATCATTCTTTTTTTTTTTTTTTTCTTTTTAATTGCTTGAAGGTATGTGCTCTTGCAAGAGAGAGAACCTACAGTGGGATGTGGTCATGGTGCAGTCTCCTCCATTTCTCTATTCTGTTGGCATTCTGGGGATGTGTGCACATGTGCCTGGCATGTCTCTCAAGCCATGAAGTTGCGATTTGAACTGCAGCCAGTCGTGGAATCCAACTCCCTTAACCACTAGGCTACTGGGTCAGCCCAGTTATTTTGCAAATAAGGGAATTGAAGTTCTAAGAAGTTAGATAACTCTAAAATTTACTCCAAAGTCTTACTGATTTGTAAAATGCATTCATTTTACTCTTCTTTCTTCCTTATGCCACAAGGTTCATAATATCTATTAGAAAATTTTTTAAAACAATTATTTGTTTTAAATTTTATTTATTCATTGTTTTCTTTTTAAAAAAATAAAATAAAATTTTGACCAGAGAGAGAAAGAAAAGAGAGAGAAAGTCAGAATGCAAGCTACCAGGTCCACGACTCGAATGATGGTTGGCCATGTGGGAGTGTCTAGTGCCTTGACCACCATGCCACTATCTATTAGAAAATTTAACCCATGTTGTATTTGAAGATTATGTGTCTGTTTCACTATTAGATTTGGAGTTTGTTTTTGTTTTTGTTTTTGTTTTCAGCAGGGACTAATCTACATTTTAGGCTCTCCAAAAACTGGTAGAGTACCTGTTGCATTGTAGGTACTGAGTAGATATTAGTTGAATGGTGACTATGTGCAGTAGAATGTCAGAAGGAATTTTAGATCTTATGTAAATCATAGATACTAGAATTTCTAAAAAGAAATATATTTAGATTTCTTACAAAGGTTTACTGCTTTTTATTTTGACTCTGTAGAGTATTTAAAAAAAAACATAACTACTGCTGTATCACATCATTTTTTTTCTTTTTTAAAGCCACTTTAGGGGCTAGCAGGTAGTGTGATGGTTAAGGATGCTGGACTCCTACATGGCCGACTGCAGTTAGTGTCCTGGACCTGGTGGCTTGCTTTCTCACTTTCCCTCTATCTTGCTCTGTTCTTCTCCGTTCAAAGGTAAATAAATAAATACATAAAGTTAATTAAAATAATTCTTTATAAAAAAGCCATATTAACACCAAAAATGTAGGAAGAACAAGGTCATAGTAAGCACATTTGGTAACTTTACACACACATTTTTTGGGTCATGGCTGGCATCTATTCAAGGGTTAGATTTTAGGGACCACTGTCTAATTCATCCCTTTTCTTTTAGAGATAACAAAACCAAGCTCAGAGACATAACGGAATTCTTACTGCAAGATAGAATGATAACTGAGTTTAGAACCTGGGTCTTCTGACTCTCAGTGTAAAATTTAGATCCTGTCTCTTCAATTTTTATTACGTGATCAGACTTAGGCACAAATAATTTGTGATTGAACTAAGATCTTACAGCTCCTAAGAAGATAGAGCTGGAGGGGACAGCAGGCGGCATGGTGGTTAAGGGTGCGGGACTCCCACATGGGTGATCCCAGTCTGAGTCCTGGACCTGGTGACTTGCTTTCTCACTTTTTTTCTCTCACTCTCACTCTGTCCCTCTCTGGCCAAATAAATAAAGTTAAATAAAATACTTCTTAAAAAATAAAGTAGAGCTGAAACTTGAATCCACATTATCCAACTCCATTTTTAGTGAAACCTGTGCATTCACTTTTATATATCTTTACTTTTTTTAAAATGTATATTTTAAAGTTTATTAATTTATTTCTCCTGAGAGAGATAGACAGAGAGACAGGCTCCCCTAAATGAGTTCTCATGCCATAAGTCCCCCACAGTTTCAGCTGGCCCGCATCCTAGGCACACAATTCACCCATTATGTCTAGGAAGGTTCCAGAATATAAACCTGGGCTCCTTCCCACATAGGTCCTGTTGCATTACCACTGCCTTGACCCTATGTTTTCTTGCTTTGTTTTTTTTTTTTAGAGATTTTTTTTGTTATAGGGTGCGTGCGTTTACCAGAAAGACAGAGCGAGACAGAGACAGAAGGCAAGAAATCACCCACCAGGGGGGATGGCCATGCCACAGTCCTTTCTCCACTTTCCTTTCGGGATCTTGGGCACTCATGCACATGCACCCGGAGTGAGTTTAAGCCACTGGGTCCGGGCCTCGAACCGCAGTCAACTACATGGGAGTTCAGCGACATAGCCATTATGTTAACTTCTGGTCCCTTGTTTTTGCTTTTTAATTTGCTATAGGGCATGTGCACTTGGGGACTGGGGGTGAGGAGAAGGTCCAGGACTTGAATCTCACAGTTGTCCGTGTAGGATTCAGCTGCCTTAACCAGTGCCTGGCCCCACTTTCATGGTGTATCCTAACTGATTCTGTCAGTCCCCGTTCAACTATAAAGGTGGAACTGTAAGTAACTTAAAAGAAGTATGTATATTTAGAATTTTCTTTCTTTGAAAATTTCAGATTTGAGGCTTAAGCAACTTCTTCCAGGGAAGAGTACCAGTGCAGCTGCTGTCGCAACCCAAGATCTTTATCCATATCCATAGATTGGAATCCTGGTGGGTCAGCAATCCTCAGACACCTCATTTAGGACAGGTAAGTGAAAGACATAGTTGAGGATAAGTGGATTGAGTGCTAATCACTAACAGTCCTCCTTCATTTTTTTATAATAGATGCAAACAGATGATTCCCTTTAAAAATTTAACCTTTTTGGGACCAGCAGTTAGTGTAATGGCTATGTCGCTGGACTCCCATGTAGTCGACCACGGTTCGCATCCCAGACCCGGTGGCTTAAAACTCATGCCGGGCGTGTGTGCGTGCGTGCCCAAGATCCCGAAGGGAGAATGGAGGAGAAGGGATTGCAGTGTTACCATCCATCCTGGGGGATGATTTCTCGTTTTCTGTCTCTATGTCTCTGTCTGTCTGGCGAGCGCATGTGCCCTATAGGGAAAACCTCCCCCCCCCCCAAAAAAAAAAAAAAAAAGACCTGGGCACATGTGCGTGTGTGCCCAAGATCCCGAGAGGAGAACGGAGGAGAAGGGATTGCGGCATGGCAATCCTCCCTGGGGGGTGATTTCTTACTTTTTGTCTCTCTGTCTCTCTCTGTCTGTCTGGCGAGCGCACAAGCCCTATAGCAAAAACCTCTCAAAAAAAAATTTAACCTTTTCTCCTGGTAAAACAAAGCATTTGAAGTCTTCAGTAGGTGGCCCTGAACATTTTTAGATTGTAAAATATGTGTCAAAATGTTAACATTGGTGAAACTTTATTTTTGTGCATTTCAAAACTGTATTTATGAGCTTGGGTTATAGATACATATTATTGCGTTAACAAATGACCTCTAACTTAGTCGCTTAAAACATAGCAATCATGGGACCAGCAGATAGCATATTGGCTATGTCACTGGACTCCCACGTAGTCGACAGCGGTTTGAGTCCTGGACCCGATGGCTTAAACTCACACTGGGCACGTGTGTGTGCATGCCCAAGATCACAAGAAGAGAATGGAGGAGAAGGGATGGCAGTATGGCCATCCCTCCTCGGGGTGATTTCTTGCTTTCTGTCTCTTTCTGGTGAGCGCACGTGCCCTATAACAAAAACCTCTCCAAAACAAAGAAAAAATAACAATCATTATTTAGCTCATGTATCTGTAATTTGGTCAGGGCTTTTACTGATGGGGGTGCTTGTCTCTGTTAACATGTGGCATAAGGTGGGCTGGCTGGAAGGGAGAGGGTGACTCAATAACTGGAAGCTAGAATCATTTGAAGGCTTGCTTACTCACAAGTCTAGTAGTCAACAACAGCTGTTGGTTAGGACTTCAGACAGGGCTCTTGGCCAGAACACACCTACATGTGCCCTCTCCCTATGGCTGCTTGGCTTCCTCATAGGATGGTGACTGGGTTCCAAGAAACAGCATCCTAAGAGAGGAAGGTGGAGGTGCATGGCATATTTGATTTAGCTTTGGAAGTCTCATGAGGTACTTTGCTGTAGTCTGTTAGTTGAGGTAGTTATAAAGGTTCACTCAGGCGTTCCAAGGAGAAGGTAGACATAGACCCCATCTTGTGAAGGAAGAAGTAGCAACATTATATTGTAAGAAGAGCATCTAGAATAGAATCAACTATTGTAGCCAACTTTGGAAAATATTATCTGCTACAGTATATTACTTTCAAGGTAAAATCTAGGAATAACATGTATAATGAAAAATAAATAATTGCAGGAAATTATGGTGTATGAGTCTATTAAGAATTTGGTGTGTTCTTATCTAGTAGAGCATGGCATTGGAAATATGCTGCCTAAATAGAAACAAATGCAATAAATTTTGAATTTTTGTGTGTGTGAACAAAACAGTTTATTGCTGTAATGAAAAGTAGAGACAAAGATTGGGGGCAGCATGTGGAGTGATGGTTAAGGGTGTTGGATTTCCACATGGCTGACTGTGGTTTGAGTCCGGGAACTGGTGGCTTGAAAATCATGTCAGGTACATGTGTGTGCATGCCTAAAATCCCAAGAGGAGAATAGAGGAGAAGAGATACGGTGGGGTTGCCCCCCCCCCCCGGGGTGATTTCTTAATTTCCCTCTCTCTTTCTCTGGTGAATGTATGTGCCCTATTCTTAAAAAAAGCAAGAAAGAAAATCACACTGGGTGCGTGTGCATGCTGCCCAAAATCCCAAGAGGAGAATGGAGGAGAAGGGATTGCTGCATGGGCACCCCCCCAGGGAGTGATTTCTCACTTTCCATTTCTCTGTCTCTCTCTCTGTCTTCTTGGCAGGTACAAATGCCCTACAACAGAAACTATACAAAAAGGAAAAAAAAAAAGGACAAAAAATTAGAGAAAAAATTTATAAGAAAGGTACAAAATAAAATTTGTAGCTTGGGATTTTGTTTTTATGTTTTTTTTTTTTCTTTTTTTTGGGAGAGGTTGTTGCTTTAGGTTGCATGCGCTCGCCAGACAGACAGAGAGAGACAGAGAGATAGAAAGCGAGAAATCACCCCCCAGGAGGGATGGCCATGCCGCAATCCCTTCTCCTCCATTCTCCTCTCGGGATCTTGGGCATGCACGCACATGCGCCCGGCGTGAGTTTAAGCCACCGGGTCCAGAATGCGAACCGCAGTCAACTACGTGGGACTACGTGGGAGTCCAGCGACATAGCCATTACACTAACTGCTGGTCCCTTGTTTTTATGTTTTTGAAGAACATGTTAGTTATTTTAGTTCTGTCTACCTGGGTCTCTTTCTTTTGGTTACTTTAATAATTTGAGAATTACTTGGGAAATTGGTTTACAATATAAACTAGAGAAGCTAGTGCTAATATAAGCATTACATGAATATTTGTCTTTGTTTCTTTTAAGGAAAACTTTGTAATCATTTTTAGAATCGTATAATTGTACTTGTTAAATTTGTGGTATGTTTTAAAAATTATTTTTAGTAGTAGGGCCAGCAGGGGGCATAGTGGTTGAGACGCTGGACTCCCATATGGTTGACTGTAATTCAAGTCCCAGACCCTGACAGCTTGAAATTCACTCCAGGTGCATGTGCATGTGTTTCCGAGCCCAAAGTCCTGAGAGGAGAATGGAGAAGGAATTACAGTGTGGCCATCGCCCTTGGGGGGTGATGTCTTGCTTTCTGTCTCTTTGGCTCTTCAATGAGCATATGCACCTTATAGCAAAAATCTCTAAAAAGGGGGGCTTGTAGGTGGTGTAGTGGTTAAGGCTCTGGACTCCCACATGATTGACTAGTGTTGGAGTCCTGGACCTGGCAGCTTAAAACTCATGCCAGGTACATGTGGTACGTGCCCAGCATCCAAGAGGAAAATGGAGGGGAAGGGATTGTGGTGCAGCCACCCCTGCTAGGGGGTGATTTCTCACTTTCTGTCTCTCTGTCTGTCTCTCTTTGGTGAATACACATGCTGTATAGCAAAAATCTCTATTTAAAAAAATTCAATGAAGCTGGAAAACTTCCAAAGTTGTCTAATATTTGGTTGTCTTATTGATCACATTTACCAATTATATTAATTGCCTGTGGCAGGTTTGAATATAGCTGATACCCAATTTCCAGATGATTTTAGATCATTCTCTGAACATTACATGGAACTGTAGGTACTTTTACTGTAGCTGGGACACAGGCTGTAGGAGCATTCCATCCCTTAGATTCTGAAACTTTTCTTGCTATCTCATTCCTAAGTGATTTACATTATAACGAGTTTAATTCAACTGTGTAAGTTCAGTGCTATTGCCACACTACTCGCAGGTAGGTAGATATGCTACGGTGGTAAATGACTGAACTAGCTATTGTGACGAGAGAGGTAATTTTGAAAGTTTGCTAACTCAACTGTGAATGATTTTGTGAAACTAAGTTTTAATTCAAAAGGTACAGCAATTGGGAAAGCTGTTTTTTTGTTTTTGCATTTAGAAACAAGAAGAGATGTTTTACAATAGTCATAGATTTGGAATAATGATTATAGGTAGTGTAAAATATTGTATCTTAAATAACAGTAGACATATGCGTATATATAGAAACATATAAACCTTTAAACATTTAACTTGCTCTTTTAAAAAATAATTATTTATTAAATTTTATTTATTAATTCGTTTATTTTTAATTTGACAGAGAGAAAGAGAGAGAGAAAGAGGGGAAGTGAGAAAGCAAGCCACCAGGTCCAGGACTTGAACCGTGCTCAGCCATGTGGGAGTGTCCAATGCCTTTAACCACCATGCCACCTGCTGGTCCCTAGAAGAAAGAATAGATTAATTGCTGGGACCAGCAGTTAGCATAATGGCTATGTCACTGGACTCCCATGTGGTCGACCACGGTTCGTGTCCCGGACCCGGTGAGTTTTAACTCACACTGGGCGCATGTGGGTGTGTGCCCAAGATCCCGAGAGGAGAATGGAGGAGAAGGGATTGCAGTGTGGCCATCCCCCCTGGGGGGTGATTTCTCACTTTCTGTCTCTGTCTTTGTCTTTCTGGCGAGCGCACGTGCCCTATAGCAAAAACCTCTCCAAAAAAAAAAAAAAAAAAAAATCAGTAATTGAATTTACTTTAGAAATTTATAGGAAGTGGGGACCAGCAGGTGGCATGGTGGTTAAGATGCTGGACACTCCCACATGACTGACCATGAATTGAATCCTGGACCTGGTGACTTGCTTTTTCACTTCCCCTTTCTCTCTCTCTCTCTATGTGCCTCTCTTTGGTAAAATTAAAATAAATGAATAAATAAGGAACCAGCAGGTGGCGTGGTGGTTAGTGTGCTGGACACTCCCACGTGGCCAACCATGGTTCAAGTCCCAGACCTGGTGGCTTGCTTTCTCTCTCTCTTTATGGCTGACCACAGTTTGAGTCCCGGACTGGGTAGCTTGGTTTTTTACTTTCTTTCTCTCTGTGTCTCTCTCTGGTGAGTACATGCACCCTATAGCAAATTAAAATAATAATAAGTAAAACTTAAAAAAAATACAAAAAAGCATATATGTTTATTAATGGGATCATACACAGTTTGTAACTTAATTTTTTTTTTGAGGTTTTTTGCCATAGGGCATGTGTGTTCGCCAGAGAGAGACTAAGAGAAGGAAGTGAGAAATTATCCCCCAAAGGGGATGGCCACACT